CCGCGACCCGACCCCGGATAGGCGGAAGAAAATGGATGGATGGATGGATGGACATTTTTCGACAAACCTTTTTCCTTTGTTCAACTTTTTTGACACATTTCTGCTTTTTCACTTGTTTTCCTACTTTTAGCAAAAACTCACCTGTTCAAATTTAGCTCAGTTTTGCTACCTTTTCCAGTCTACTTCAGTAGGTTTCAACAAAAAACCCTTCAGCTTGGTCACACTGCATTTCTGCAGAAAATGCAAAATCTCTAGTTTTAGATAATTTTTTTTTTTTTAGTCTATTTTTGGTATGAGACTGGAGTAGATTACAATAAGACTATTTAGTCAATTTAGGTGGACTAAATGGTGTTAAAAATGCAACAATAACATATTTTCAAACTTAGAATAGTTTTGCCAACAATGTTTTGTTTTAATATCACTTTTCATCATATTCACTCATTTAATTCAGTGCCTTTCTTAGAAATGGTACTGACAAACTTTTCATTTGAAATGTAAACCAATACATTTGATATTGATACTAATAATTATACTAGTGTTGGTGTTTCAGAGTGCTGGAGCATTTTGTACAAATATGAGTACATGTAAAACAGCTGGTAATGGCACACCACTAACAGGTATCACAAATACATAACACATAAAAACACAATGTAAATAGTATAGAAATCACAAAAGTCATTAATCAGTGACATCTTTATTGGATTCAAATCAAACATATCCCTGCCTCAATTTATTCAAAGAAAAGCAATTACAATGCATATCCCTAAAACAGAAAATTGTTATTGTTCTATAAGCACTATACATAAAAATGAAATCAAATCATTAGTATTTTCAGTAAAAAAAAATTATCACCACAAAGGTTTTGTTGACCTTATTTTCTTAATATAAGTTTGATGCCTAATAAGTTGAGGTGAAGCTGAGAAAACAAAGTCAGATCTGTGGAGAGGGGACAGTGAGGAGTCCAGTGGGCTTCAGTTTGCTGATCCCTCCATCCAAAATGCAAACACGTGAGAAATTCACCTTGACAAGATGTGCAGCAAACTAGGAAGAAAAAAAAAAAAAAGACAAGAGCAAGACCAGTCAATTAACTCCATCAAAATATCCACAATTTATTCATAAATTAGGACTTTTCAGGATGGACGGACAGGATAAACTTCAAGTTGTGACAATGATGGCAAAACAGAAGATGACGTGTGCACTGAACCGTCACTGTGTAGTCAAAGTTCATAAATAAACTGCTAGCAGTACTTAATAACTCATACATCATATCATCTAATGCATAAATAAATACGTCAGTAACATTTAATAACAATATGCATTACCACGAAAATTAGTTTAATGTCACTTTGATAAATTCTCTCCAAACAAAAAACAACTAAAAGCATGACACCGACTACCAACGTATAGGGACATTTCAACATAAAGGTACTAAGTGGATGTGAAAATTACAATGAACCTTCAAGTTCCACAGAGAAAGTTTTAAATCAGAGTTCACAGAACATTTTAAGAAATTTTAACGACGTTGGTTAAATAAGGTAAATGTAGGTGTATTAAATTATATATGATGCAAGTACAAGACAAGGATGCGTGTGTGTGTGTGTGAGTGTGTGAGTAAACTTTCTCACCATAGCAGCACTCTTCACAGCATGGCTGATGATCACGATGACTCGTCCTCTGTAGTTCTGCAGGGCTCCTGATGCGGGACACTGCACAAGCTCACCGTCGGAGTTAAACACGCTGCTGAAAGGAACATTGATGCTGCCTGAAACATGGCCTCTGCTGAAGCTGGAGCCAATTGGGTTAAGGAGAACAGATTTTAGTGTTTCAAGTGTTTAGTGTGTCAAAGGCCTTGAGAAATGCACCAGAGTGAACTTCTGATTCATGTATATGCACTGTTATAAAGCCACTGTGGAAAACACAAGGTTATAAAACAGCATGAAGCAGATCTCACGATAACAAAAAACTGGTCAGCTTAATGACCTTCAAACTTGTTCACCAAATAAAAAAAAGGTTGCAGTAAGAATACAGAACAGTGATGTTACATAACACTGAGTAATCTGCTAACTAGTAATTAGTTATTTTGGCAAATTATACGACTCACTGTGGCTGTTCTAAAACAACAGCTGGACCTAAAAGCATGATCTGATTCATTCAACAAAACATTGCATTTTATTTACTTTTTGTGATTAAAAACATTTGCATCAGAACTTTTCCTAAGCTCCTATTAAGAGTTAAGAGTTGGTAACCTTACCTTAGAGGCTCTGAAGTAAAAGTGTAGCTAGAGGAAGGCTTTACATTCTGCAGTAATTCTTACTATAGTAACTCTATAACTTCATACACATTCATTCATAAAACTCAGTCAAGATTTTTTTTCACCAATGCACTGTGTACAGCAGAGGACAGTCCTGCAGACTGATCGAGCAAAATACAAAGATGGGCCAAAAAGAGACTTGACTGTGGCGAGCAGAAAAACTTAAGTTTTTAATTTGGCCTCATCAGAAAACAATTTCAAATTGTAAATGAAAAAATAAGCCTTTTTACATTATCAGCATGTCAAAGGATTTTCAAAGTGTAAACAATGAGAATAAATGGAGAAGCCTGTATGAAAATCTAATTTATGTGCAAACAATTCAATAATCACTCAGTATTAGTTCTTCTCAGATGCTGCAATGGAGATAGAAGTTTTTTGGGGTTTATTTCAAGTCATTATCATGAGAAATTGTAACTTTGTAGTTTTGGTAAATCCATTCCCAAATTTTAAGGGTACAAAGGTAGGTAATGTAGGTAGGTATCGGTGCAAAGTAGTAATATTTTGCACCCAGAAGGTAAAAAATGTCAAATATTGGGAACAAAAAGGCAACACCTGGATATGGCAGAAAAAAAATGCTTCTGTTCCCAGATCAATCCACCTCGTTTTATCCCCATGTTTGTTTGTCAGACTGCAGAATCTGGTCATGCAGCTGTATGAAGAATCGTGAATGTAGCAGCACTAAAACAGATCCATCCATCCTAAATTTGACCCTTTTGTCCTTTCATAAGAAACTGCAGGCCTATTTAAGCCTTCATGCCAGGAAGCTTTATTTTAAAACTCTATGAGAAAAGGGCAGGAAGTCGAAAAATAAGAGGAATATCAGAAACGCATGTGGTAAAACACTTTTAGACACCTCTAAATAAATCACAGCTGCTTTGGTTTACATCATTCATGGGGAAATAAAAACATCTGTAGTGACAACAGTTTTCTTATTTTGACAGCTGTTTTTTATTACACAATGAGAATAAGAATCTGTGAAGCATTATATTTCAAATTACAGCTGAGCCATTCACCCTGCCAGTAAACTTTCACCTGTCAGAAACTTTGCAATGAACTGTGTTATTAAAATAATGGCTTTTCATCTCCCACATCTCCGTTCTACCAGTCTCTGCAAGGTGATAAATAAAACAAGATAAAACGCTATATCTTAGCAAGTGCTTCAGTGAGCATTTGCAACGGTTTTCTGAATTCACATGAGAAATGTAAACAAACACTGAAACAACTGACAGGTGCATTACAGATGTCTTCATCTGAGAATGTTGTGTTTCTTTAACAAAAACAACTTATATAGGATGTGAGTAAAGATAACAGGTGAATTAAGTTGGAATTTTTAATTTGTACGTGCAAGTATATATATATAT